GTGCCCAGACCTGCCATGGATCTGGGTTGCGACCACCGAGGGGGCCGTGACTCCAACCGGAAATGGTGAGTTCACCACAGACCGTTGGAACCAAGGTGTGAGAGCAGGCATCTGGTGGGGGGCCCAGTATGTGGCACCCTCTTGGAACCCAACCAGCCGCCCCACCAAGCTTGGAAGAGTTCCTCAATGGCTGGAAAGGACCAGTTCCTCACGTCCCAGGCTGGAAACAGCCTCAAGTCTTGGAGACTGTCACTTCAGGCACACTGTCTGGAACATGGAACTGATGAAAAAGGTCAGTGGACTTGCAAAAGGCCTGTCCAGACTAGCTTGTCTGAAAGGAAAAAGGCGCCTGCTAGCTTTCAGGGTATATTGAAAACATGTGAAAAACATCTCCTGTCTTTGTGGAGTTGGGCAGTCCAAGACGGCCATCATTGCCATTCATGTCAGGGGGCCTGAGGGGCCTGTCTGAACCCGAAAGCCGCAGGCGGTCAAACTAAGGGGCTTCATCGCGAAGCGACGGATGGTTTGCTCTAATAATGATAATGGTTGTCCATGCACTTGATGTTTGGTACTCCTCATTGATGTTGGAATCATGGAGCGCATAAGGGCACAAGCTCTTGCAAAGGGATACAGGCCCTTTGTGTCCGTACTTCCATGTGTGTTGTTTGTGATCTGCTTTTTATTGCTTCACTACCTTCAGTAGGTGCACCCACTATTTCCGGGATCAAGAGATGTTTTAGCAGTGTTTTCTTATTCGTATTCTTAGGAAATGGAACCCTAGGCCGGCGTGTGGCGCCGCTTTCAGTTCAGTACACCCTATCCTAAGTGTGTGGCTGGTCTGCACACACTGGTGGCATGCTGCACCTGATCCGAGGACCGACCTCCCCGCGCCGATTTCGGAGCGCGGTCGACGGCGGGCCATGTACTCCGGCGGCTTCTCACCTGGGCGAAGGCGACGAGCGGGCGGCCGGCCCTGCGTGTTGAGGAGGGAAGCTCAGAGTGGGTGCGAAAACCCCCGAATTCTCTTCTGAAAAAGTCACCAGAATTTGGTTGAATCATGAAAAACGTATACAGGACTTCGGGAAACCATGGTTGTCATCTCCAAAACTATAGTTTGTTTTGTTGAATAGGTTTTCCCTTAAACCAATTCAATAATTCTGGGATCCTTGATATTTGAAGTCCAAGTACCGGAAAAAAAAACACGGAAAATCTGTCCTCCACCCCACAAAAGGGAATTCAATGGAATGCACGCCTGGGGACCCCGCCCCCCAAAAAAAAACAACGAAACCAAGACTTTGGAATCGTCATCCTTTCGGGGCAAGGCCACAAAAAGTAGTCAAGCTGAACTGGCCTCTTCTTTGGACCCGATCTCCCGACCAGGTCGAAGCGATGGCAGGCCAGGTCGGCTGCGAAAAGACCATCGGATTTCAAAGGATGCTTCAGGATGAGCACATGGTCAGGCTGGTGTCTTTATAAGACGTCTTCTTCTTCACCACCAAGCCAGCCGCTTGAACCGGGCGGTTCTGGTTGATGCGGTCAACTGGTTCCAACGCTCCCATGTGACCCCTTCGGTATCTGGAAATCCTTCCGCGACGCACCGCATGAGTCACTTCCACCAGCGACCAGTCGAGATCCGGTCCGATCCGGTTCTCTTCACTGGTTCTCTTCACGCTTGTGGCGATCTGCCCTTCCCCCCAGTCGATTCCGGTCCATGTCGCACCTCGTGGACCGTGACACCTGGAGATGGCTCTGAGATCCCAGGCTGGTGGCCCATGCTTTCACCGCCTCCTCCGCCATGCCTTTCCTTTCGCCTCCGCCGGTGACCGGTTCACCGGTCACCGGTCACCGGCGCCCGGTCACGGCATCGGGCAGGGCGCCGCGGGCTTGGCGCCGCGGCGGGGGGCCGGCTCGAGCCGAGATGAGGCGAGCAAAAGAAGTCTCGCCTTCTGATCCATGTATTGTAAGAGTTGCTGGGAATGCAAGGAAACAATGAAAATCAGGCTTGAGCTGAGCCAAAACCAGCAATACCCACTTTCTGTGTGCCGCAAGCTATGAATTGACGATCCATCTCGCTTTGAAGCGGCGCATGCGACGCCATCTGGAATCTGAAGTGTGGTGTAGAAATGTCAATATTAAAGAGGCTCAAGAGTCTGCACCTGACAGCGCCAAAACATGGATGGATGGTGACCAATTCATCTTAATAGGGGGACTAATTCATCTTAATAACACCCAAACATTCCATGTATGCCATATATGCCTACATTGACCCTCCAAACCACCCCAATGTAGGCATATATGGCATACATGGAGTGTCTGGGACAGGTCACCACCTGCGACCTTTACGGCCCCAAAAGCCTCCAAAGGAGACTAGAGTCGGGTGTTGGTGCACATCATTCGCTTAGAACGGTTATATAAACATGCTGGGCAAGCTATTGGGCAACCTGCCAACGGAACATGTGCGCAAATGTGGGAAACAAACAGATGTTGTCCATTGTTGTCCTCCACCAGTCTGGCCGGAGCCTGAATGCTCGAAGCCTACGTATATACCTGGCTCAAAAATAGAGAAGAACAAACAAAGGCCGCACGATCGAGCCAAGCAAGCATGATCAATCAGCTCTGGTAGGAGGAAATCAGATCAGCAATTTTAACCATTCTGAGCGAACTTCTGGATATTGGAGCCTGGAAATTGAAGTCATATTCTAGCTGGGGCACACGGCAAATCACAATGTTCCACACATATACTACACCCAAACACTCTATGTATGCCGTATGCCGTATGCCATATATGCCGCTGCCATTGACCTGGGCACCACCCCAATGTAGGCATATGCATATTATGGCAGTCCCATCAGTCGTGAGTGTCTATGGGACATATGGAACCCAGGCAGGGTCTTCCACACCCTTCGCTCCCGATGACGCCGAACGCCCTTCGCTCGCCCGCTCTCGGCTGTTCCTCGTGACGCCGGGGGCGCGGTGGAATCTGCGGGTCCCGGCGGCGTGAAACACGGGGGGTGAGACGTGGTGTGCCGTTGCCCCCTGAGGATCCGCTCGTTTTTGGCGTGATTAGGGCAGCTCGCCGGCTAGCCCGGGGTCGTTTATGTTGGGGGCGAACCGTTTTATTTTAATAGAAACGTTGATGCAAACACATCAATGCCAACATTAGGACCAAGATGGGCCAAGTAATTACAGGCAAAACATAGATGGAACAACTCCCATGCGTTACTCTTGCAAAGCTATCTATACTTGAGCATTGGCTCATTCCAAGGGGTCAGTTCAATTGCGTTCACTAACATGGTACCATAGTGACACACAAACATATAAGCACGCAAACACGTGTTCCAAACAAACACACCCTTGTCCGATGTCTATCTGTTTTTAGGATTTTTTGGCAGCGATCCACCGGTGTTCAACGCGGTGATCACCGCGAATGACCGCCAAAACATCCTTGGCAGAAATTCCACACCAACCTCCTCGGAAACGACACCCAGACGTACGACCGTTCTTGCAGCCTCACGTCTTCGCCCAAACCCACGTCGTCAGGGGGCACGAACAAGGAAGTGGCCCAGCCCATCAGGAGGACCGTCCAAAGCACAGTGTGGATGAAAAGGGTTTTTGCACACAAAATGAACCAAATCCATGCGGCCTTGCGTTGATGTTGGGGACCTGCCTAAAGACCTGCCATACACTTGTCACGGGGCCAGGCGTTCAACATCTGCATGGGAGAAACAAGCAATCGAATACAAACAAAAATTATCAATACCTTCTATTTTGACAGGTGGTTTGTCTATGTTTGTCTTTTGGTTTTGGAAGGAAAATGGTATGTCAAAACATGTTGTCCTAACCTTGTTTGTTTTCTTCTGTTCATGTTTCTTCGTTTTGTTAGGGTTTGTTGTTTTGTTCATGTTGGGTTCCGTTCTCTTGGGTTGTTTCTTCGATGTTTGGGTTTATGGGTTGTAAAATGTTATAATTATACTGTGGTTATAGGATGTTGTAGGTTGCAAATTTTTATGGGTTGTAGTCATGCTATAAGTCTTGATAAATAAATGATGTTTTTCCTTCCGTCGTCACCGTCTCCGTTCCCCGTCTCACACCGCTCGCGACGACTACTACAACGACTTCTTCGTTTATTTCTGTCGGGAAACCCAAAGCCGTGGAATGGGAGCAAATGGAGGGCGGTCAGGGTGAGATGTCATAACTTGTTGGGTGAAATCATGCTCTACAACCACAATAAAATGGACAACAAAGAAAAACACAAAAGAATGATTATATTACAATTAGCGAGGTTGGTTGAACACTACTGGGATGGAATAGGTCAATGGACAGCTTGAAACTATATTACAACTAAAACCCATAAACATTTACAACCTGTAACTACACTATAAACTACAATCCATAAACCCAAACATCGCAATTAATGAAGAAACAACCCAAGAGAACAAAGAAACATGAAAATAAAACAAGGTTATAACGAAACGTTTTGACAAAAATAGTCACAAAATCCCCCAGCTAGAAACACATCAAAGGCGATGAACACATGTTGAACTCGAACATAAAATCCTATAAGGCAACATACAGCGAAATATGTCCTACAATCCCCCTTTTACAAATTTTTTGGGGGATTGCAAAAGCGCCGCCCGGCATGCTAGCCCCGGAGCATCCGCAGGCAGTACGGATAAATTTCCTCAACAAGTTGCAACCTGATTGAACCCATTTGGGGTATCTATCGTTGGGAAGTACAAGGCATGCCTGGCGTAAGAGCCCATGTGTCATAAAAAGTCCCCGTGTACAAAGCCCGCGCCATTGGTAAACCCCACCTCGGCAAGTGGACCGTTTCCATTTACAATACCTGACCTATTACGGCAACATTCCAAGCTGTTGAGCCTGTCTACTGTAAAAACGAGAATCCACTTTGCACCCTGGCACGTAGAACTATCCGAGCCAAAGCCCCTTTGGGGCTCAAACTTGTTCAACGATCAAACGGTCTGCGATGAGATCAAAAATCACGACCTGGCCAAGCACACAACCGCGCCCCTTTTCCCCAACACAATTCCAAATGGCCTGCCTTGAAAGCTCGCGAGGCCTATATATACATTTGGGCAAAGCCCAAAACCAGGAACAGTGGACGATGATAATAAGTAGAGGCGATTTCTGGCACATAGTGTTCATTGATGTTAACTGTTTACCGATTGGTGCAAGATGGTGCAAGTAATAGGATAGACCCAACCTATCAAGAGTGCCTAGTGACGTAAACCCAGCGCCCGCCTGAATACAAACACACGAAATCTGTTCACTCCAACGGTCTGTCTCCACCTCCGAAGCGCGACCACCTTGTCCTCCACAACGCTGTAGTGACCTGGGCGCCATTGGAACCCGGACCAGCCAGCCCGGGGAATGTGTGTGTGTGGGGGCCACCTGTGCTTGATGGCGCAACTTGCTGGTGACGCTCGCAGAAAAAGACTCCAACAGCTTTGGCACAACGGTCCTATGCATTGCCGCATTGACCTCCTTAGACTCCTCCTGGCTGCGGCGGCGCGCATAAATATCGGCATTGGAACATGCGTGCCTGCTAAAACTAAGAAGCCTTTCGTGGCAGACACGCAACTTCAACTTCCTCAACTTTGCAAGGAGTGCCCAATGAAGATCAGATCCCCAAATAGTGCAAGGTATTCAAGTGGGGATCTCTTTAGAAGATCCTAGTTGAAAGCTGGGAAGTAGAGATCCCCCAAAAACAAGCCACTTCATGGTAACCTCATGGCTTCCCCCAAAAGCTGCGCTGCCAACTGCACCTCACCGGATATATGGTGCATCCAGCTGAAGCCGGTCGCTCAGTCCTTTCCAAGCGAGCGGTGGTGAGCTTACCTGGAAGCGACTTACTTCAGCCACACCGAGAGATCAGCCACTCACCCACGATGGAGTCCCAACACGTCGCCCAAGGGAACGGTATTTGGAAGACCTCGCCCTTTAGGGTGCAGATCAATTAGATCCAAAGATATCACTAGCAGGACCGACACCAAGAGGTGTCTATAAATAGCCTCTTAGAGGTGATTCGGGGTGTCCAAAAACCACATGTTGGAAGGTGCTGGCAATAAGCATTGCATATTTTAGAGTTTGTGTGGTAGCTATCTATGTGTGGCCGTTCTCGCTTCTTGGAAGATGGCCGCAACTTTACAAGTGGTAGGCAACCTGAGGCAACCAACACAGCTCTGTCAAGAACATCAGCGAATGACACCCCAAAGGGATTGGATATCCTCAAGCCAGCAAGTGCACATTCCAGTACCAGTACCAGTAAGCGTGGATGATGATGGTTAGTGCAAACCTTTCTGAAAAATAGTGCTATAGCATGTGATAGCCTTTTACCAACCGTTGCTGGTAATGGTGCACACCCTAACGATCTGACCTCTTTCTTGAGATCCACGACGTTGTGAAATGACCTGTTACATCATGCTACATCCAGGAAAGCGGATCTTCACGCGGTGAAGAGTAAACATTGGGCCTATCCTATTACCAGTCACAGTGGATTTTGTTCCGCTTTGCATCTTAACGAAGTGAAGTGGATCTTTACTTCCAGACAGTTGGTCAGTGTTAATTACTAGGAACAGTGCATGTTGATGGTTACTAAAGGCCTTTCTATAAAATAGTGATAGATGTTTACTGGCTGTTACTAGGGATCCAAGTACCTTCTCAGGAGGTACTTGGACCCTCCAAAGCTACATAACTGTGTCCAATCACCTTCAAGGTACTTGGATCACTAGGGATATGCTGCCCCTACATGGACCATCATTGACCCCTTTTCAACCATCCCAAGTGCCCCGAAACAGGTCTGGGAACCAGCGAAGACCCCAAGTGACCATTTCAAGTTCATCGCGTTTGTTCTGCGCCGTTTCCGGGGGGCGTCAGTTGAAGCCTGGCCAGTCGCTCACGCTGTCCGGCCTGCATCGGTGAAAAAACCTTAATTGGCACCTCCCTTGCTATCCGTGTGCAGGCAGAACTAGAAGCTTAGGTGCTTCAAAGTGGCAAGTCGCTATAGATCGAGCTATATTGGATGGAGAACAAATGGCACAATCCCTCAACATGTGGTGCTGTTTTTTCATTGGGCTCCCATCTCAAAGACATCTTGCAGGTGCCAGTGCGATGGCACTCTGTTTTCACACGTGATCTGCAGTTAGCCTTTTGGAACAAGGCATCAGCACTTCCAAACAACGGCTTCCGGAAAGCGGTTCCGTGCGTCTGAAGAACCAACGATGAACCGCTGGACGAAGCGGTGGACTCGGTGCCTGTCGCAGAAAGAAGGTCCTCCAAAAGAACCTCCCAGCATCCACTTCAGGAGCCTCTTCATTGTATCCTGTAAACATCTGTAAACTATTATATATTGTATAGAATTGAGGTATGTCCAATTCCCTGGAGCAGGGGATTATGGTTAGGTCCGGTTACAGGCCCGGCAGGCCTATCTCAAACAATAGTGATATTCTGATATTCTCTTGTCGAATGTTTAAGGGACACACCCAGAAGTGTCCAGAGTCAAGCTAGCAAATCGCGGCGGAACAATCCTGTGCTGAAACACAATTCCCCCCAGCACTACGGACCACATCCTGTCCTCTGGTCCACACATCCAACGAGTAACTCTCGTGACATAGGTGTTTTGGCATCAAACGGTTCGCCATCAGGTCAACGACTTCATATTTACCGAAGCTGATGATGCAAACAAAAACCACTCCTTCTCTGATGTGTCATGAGGTTTCATGAGGTTCTGTCGGACCAGGTTTGGGTCTTTAGACCTGGTCTGACGTGCAAACGGTCGCGGCTTCTTCTGCCCTCCCCCCCCTGAGACCAAGGACACTCGAGCTGCTCGCTGATTTGAAAAAGGATCTGGCCGTGGCTAGGAGGCCAGTCCTTCCCCTTCTTCGGGGTCCTGGTGCTTCCCAAACGGGCTCACATCCTATGGTTCATGTTGCGTTCATTTGTCTTCTGGTATGCTCATATCCTGAAAATATATGAAAATATGATGAACAAAGGTCTGAAGAAAACGGTACCTGAAGCATTCCACAGTGGACATGCGTGACATGGGACGCGTGACATGGGACGCGTCCGCCGGACTTGGGGGTCGAACAAGTGGACACACACAAAAAAAACAAAAAGGTTCCTGGGTGGATCTCCATTTGGTTATGATATGGTTTGGGTCTATCCCATTGCCAGGGCCCAGTGGATGATGACGGGGCCTGGTTGCGGCCTTGTTCACAAATAGTGATGTTCTTGTTTACTGACTGTTGCAGGATGTTGCAGGTATGTTCGGACAGACCCAAGGTATGGTACAAAGATTTCTTGCGGGTCCTTCACACAGAAGCCTCTAAAATAAAACCTTTACGTTGTCTTGACTGATGAATGGTCTCAAAATGCTTTCAAATCCCCTGGAAGTCCAGTCGACCATGTTTAAAACGGATGATCTGGTTTTGTCGCGTTAAAACCCTTAGTAAAGTTGTTCGGGATTCTGGCTATTAAAATATGGTGGGCCACGACTTCTAGGGAAATCTGGAGGCCTCGCCTATGCTTGGGCTGATTCATGTCTTGATGGGGCGTGTAGCCGTGATCCTGCAGATCGTAGATGACATCTGAAAGCGGGGCGAACGAAGCAGAAGTTATTGCAAGACACGACCGTCACGACCCATCACCCCGACTTCAACCACCCCAACTGATCGGTAAATATGGTCTTGCAAGACTGTCAGTACTTGGGCACATGCAAGACTGGGGGTGAAGTGATTTTCTAGACTTCTTGGATCTTAATGGATTCGATTTCAACCCCCCCAAGCCTGTTTTGAGTGTTTTTTCCCTCACGCAAGTTCAATCCAGCTCGTGGGGGAGCCGGATGAATCCATCATCGGCCCCTGGGGTCTTCAGAATGGCACTAGGACACCCTTCTTCGGGATCGTGTGGGTCAAATTGAGCCGATCCCTTGAAAAAAGGCATGTCCCAGGGCCCCAGGTTTGGGGTGGTGAAATGGATACCTCGTAACCTCTAGCCTAAGGATGTCTAAGGAGCTATAGAATTGATTAGACAACCGAAACGGGGCCCTGGGTCAGCCGAGCCCATGGTGGGAAGAGGTGTCATGACCCGTCATGACCCGTCTACCCAGCCAGGGCGGCCCGGAGGTCTCGAACATGCACGCACCGGGTACCACCCAACCACCGCCTTCGGAACCAACCGCCAGGATCCGCCCAGGCACGTCTTTGCCGCCCCTCGCCCACGTCCGCCTCTCGGACGAAACCACACACGCAGGTCCGACCGCACCAGCTTCACCCCACGTCGGTCCGAGTGCCCCGCCCCGCCCCGGAGCCTCGGAGAAGTGATCAAAGGCGAGGATCCCTGCGGGTGAGCCGGTCACGAACCGGTGGAACGAAACGGACCACCGAAACGGACCACGGGACAACTGGTGGATTCCAACATCGTTGAGAGTGGAGAACATGTAGAACACAAAGATAGAACATGCCACACGCTTCAGGTCAGGGAGAGAAAACCTAAGTCAAGACTTTGTAGCTGAAACCTTCATGATCCGTAGAATTCGGGTGATTCTTCCTAGCACTATACTACCATGCATGAATCAAAACGTAAGAAATTCTGAAATTAACGAACCTCCTCCCACTGGGCACAGGAAGTGCCGCCCTTCCAATCAAAAATTCACACACACATACACTTCCCTGAGCACGGTCCAAAGTTCCTCCATGTTCCTCCCAAATCGTCAATGGACCCAAATTATGGAAAACACGCGCACTTCTCTGAACATTCCACAAGCTTGAGTGTGCGATTGCAGTCCTCCATGGCACAGGAAAAGCGTGTTCATGTGTTCGCAACACCCGTCCCGAATGGACAACTCAGCTGAACCCACTGCTCAAACTCATTCCTCTTCGAGAGCCACGAAAGCCTACTTGGTGCACCTACATGTCTTAAACAACGAAACAATACACCCCGAAAGGCTCCTCAAAACAGTGCCATGTTTTCTTATAGCATTCTGAAAACTAACAAGCCGCACAACAGCGCCATGATGTCTCAGCAGCGTATTGGCACTGGGAGCTCCTGTCCCATATCCTCAGGTTCGGTGGCCCCCCGAAAAAGGGGCGTGCGCATGCATGCAGTTGGCTTTCGACAAGTCCGGAACAACTACGTTCTTGGCCACTGCGACAGTTGTCGCCAAAGCCAAGCCCACGAAGACACATGTCATTGGCTCGCCGTGCTTCCGCGTTGTCCACATAGAACATCTTGCGACCTTCTTGGTGAGCTGTGCTGCCTCTGTGCTGCCTCTGCGAAGAACAGCCGCCGAAAGAGACCGCCAGAAGCACCCGCGACAAAAGCATACAAAAGCGAGGTCTCGAGGGCACCTATGCCTTCAAAGATCGAAGGCCATGGTTTTCTTGCCAGGCATGCGCCAAGACTTCTTGAGGATGTTGACTTCTCCATCAGCGAACTGGATCAAGACAGCGGCAGCGCCGGAGGCTTTTTGCACGCGTCTTCCAAGGAGTTCACCTTAGAGTGGCAACTTTTTCGCTCGAGCACCAGAGAGCTTTCTTTGCATGGGAATTGTACCAGCCTTCATGCCGCACACCATTTGCGTGCGAGCACTGACAGTGAGGTATGATGCGAAGTCCGCATCTGGTTGCTGAGACGGGTTAGATTGATTGAAGTGACCCCACCCCCAAAGCTATAATATGAACAACAGTGAAGGGCGGAACCCGGTCACTGGCCCAGCTGAGTGGAACGGCGGCACCAGCGGAAACATGAAGCTCTATAGTACCGCTCTCTTGGCGGCACTGCAGATCAGTGCATGGCCCCTGTGATGGTGTTGTGGCGCGGGAGCAGAGCCTGCAAGCTGTTGTTGCGGCGCTTGTGGAGCAGCAACCAAATTCATGGTGTCACCTTAGAAAAGGCGACCGAAAAAAGAGAGTTAAACATTGTTGCTCAAAAATTGTATGCGCCAGGCCGCCTCCGGCGGACTGCAAGGCCAAGAGATGCCAAGTGGCATTCCACAGCAGAGAGATCACCGTGATAGAGTTGGTGTGGCTTAACGCTCCTGCGGAAGAGATACACTGGTAGGTCACCCTTCATGCTGGCGGTCGTTGTAACGATTACCACTGCAGTAGCTGAAGACAATCCACAGGCCTGCAAGGCCTTGCCGCACCAGGCCAAAGGTCTTGTTTAGACGACGGACGATGGTTTCAACTACGAAGGCGCTCCAAACGTGGTGCAACTTTTTTAGGAAAACGAGCCCGCGATGTTCAGGGGCTACGTCAGTTGAATCGGATCGCCGGTTGCCAGGGAAGCTCTAAACGATCACTTGCAAATGGTGAAGACTTGGAGAGGTCTCTTCTTGCTTGTGCCCTGAGAGTTCCCCATCCTCGATCATCTTGGACCCCGCTTCCATCGATGATTTGAGAATATCACTAAAGGCCATTGCAACGAGTGTTCACCTAAAGAATAAAGATCAGGGCAAGAACTCCAAGTGGTTGAAGGTTTACGGCTCTGTCAGGTGGCTCGGAAGACACCCATACGCCGCCGAGGAACCCTGTCTTCTGGAGTGCTCTTGCAAAAGGCGTCTGCAACTAGATAGGGGACACAAAGTGTATCATCCTCGACCTTTAAAGGGGTGTCTGGAGATCTCTAGGTAGTGGGCTGGGGCTTTCAGCCAGGTGACCCCGAACTGAAGGTGTTGGTTTAGCATCATCCGGGCTATCTTTGCCTTTGATCTGAGTGATGACAAGCATCCACTCACCACGGCAGTCTGCTGCGCGGCGAGAAGTCTGGTCCGTCAGTTTGCACTCCAGAAGGCTGCAAAGGCTAGCGAGGCGGCAAACAGCATACCTATAAGAATAGGTTATTATCTGACGTTTTTCCAACACCACGCATATAAATTAAAAATCCCAGACACTCCATGTATGGCATATTTACCTACATTGGGGTGGTGGTTTGGGGGGTCAATGGGGCGGCAGTCCTATGGCAGTCCCATTAGTCGTGTCTGGGAATTGTGTGACACATCTCCTGCGGTCTAAGGTTTAGAGAACACCGTTCTCTAACGCTTGCCGAGGAATCTCATCCGTAAGCTGCTGCTTGCGCGGGGTTTGTAGGCCTCCATCCTGATTCAGCTGACAAGCTGACCTCCGACAAAGGCAGCCGCACTGTAGGGAGCTTCACCGGCTCTGCTCGCTGCATTGCGCAACAAGGGTTCTCAACAAAAAACTGAGCAGAGGACTGTGCGAGCAGTTTCGGACTTGAAGCTTCGCCTTCAGAAGAAAGGCTAGAGAGAAACACGCGACAAAAATGCAGGACTACCCAGGCCCAGTACCACTTGCGCGCAATGATTTCAGCTGGATGATTCTTGGATCCTGGATGGTGTGCTTACCAACCTGGTAGGTTTCGGGACCTGCGCGCTGAGCCTTTAAGGGTTCTCCGCCGAGGAAGCACACGTTTCGGTTGAAGCAGCTTCAAGCGGCAGCTCTGGGTGGCATGTGGACGCCAGGCAAAGGTGCAGGTTTGTAGGATCTTGATGCTCGACCTATGAGGCCCCTTCTGGGTAGCACGCGTTTCGGTTGAATCAGCTTTGAACGAGCACGGAGGGTTTTTGGGACCTTTGTCGATTTCGAGTCCCATTCCTGTCAAGGCGAGTCCAATTCACCCTGGTTGGAGCCCCTACCAGTGGATGAATCATGAAGGTTAGGTTGCAGGCCTTGTCCAAAAATAGAAAAATGATGAAACATGTACCATGATTGCTACGAACGGAGCAAAAAGGGCATCGCTACGAAGGGAGCGATCGGACGCTACGTTCGGGGCTCCTGGCCTTACTACTAGGAGCGATCGGACGCTACTAAGGAGCAATGCATCGAGAATGCAATCTGAAGACCTGAAGTACCGTCTCGTCTTGGGAGTGTTGCTTCGGATCCAGCTGGGGATGAACATGTGCTTGTTGACTGTTACAGGTCAGTTCGGACAAACCCACACATACCCTAGAAGTCCAACTACTATTTTTTGACCGGCTGAAGCAAAGGAAGTTCCCTTTCAGGTCCCCAAAACAAGACCATTCTTTCATATTCTTTCTATAGTCTTTGACTCCCAGGGCATATCTAGGGTTCAGCACCAAACGCCTCCACTTCGCCGTCCACCCGCCACTCGACTCGAGGCCCCGCGCCTCGCTCGGCGGAGCGCTCCAGCTCCCGGTCCTCGGTGGACACCGAGCGGACCGCGGCTCCCACAGCGGCTCCCGCCCTCTGACGATCCCGCGAGGGTGCCGGAGACACTGGTGCCGGATGGTGCCGGGGTCGCGTCCCACGCCGAACCTGAGAACTGTTTTGGCTTGGATCCGGGATATATGGAGGGCCCCCTCGTTGGGAGGTGTCAAAGCAGCAGGTTTGGATGTCCCTTCACGTCCAACGGCCTCGTTAGGCCTGGTACTGTACGGCCGATCATGGTTGGTCCCAATGCTGCGAAAGGAGCGTCAGGTGACTTTTCTTGTGGCCAAAAGATGCCATGGTCGGTCTGAGATCAGCGGGGCGGATCTACTCACTCGATGGAAGTACCCAGCAGCTTGAGACCAAGAATGCGGGGTCCACACGGGACATTCCCACGAAGACATCCGAATGGAAGTGGCCAAACAAAACGATCCTGTTTCTTCCTGCTTCTACTATATAGGGGACAAACCAAGGGACAAGTTTCATCCATCCACTTGGAGACCATGACCATTCACGTAACCATGTGTTCGTCAAGAGTCTACCAGGGCCCCCTAAAGGGGTGTCCAAGTAGCTCTCCTCTTGTAGAGTCTCATTGTAGAGGTCAATGTCTGTATTAACCACCCCCAACCGGAGCCCCTGCTACCGGCTGCCAATTCCACCGCGGCGCCGGCTTCACTCCACCCCGCTGGGCACCCCGTGCAACGAGGCGTTGCGCCTCCGCGCGACTCAGCTTGGGCCCCAAGAGCTGCGCCTCCTGAGAACGCGTCGTCCCGTGGGGTGGGTCGGAGGGTCGGAGGGTCGTGGGCGAGCTGCAAAGAATCTGAGAATGAGGTGGAAATGGGGCGGTTCCGGCGTGAGTGAGTGAGAACGAGCTGCAAAGGGTGGAAGAGGGTGGTAAGGTGTGGGACAGAAAGGGTGGTGGTGGTTGAAATGGGTTAAGTCATGCCTGCGTGGCCCAACTGAGAACGAGGTGTTCCTTTTTGCTCTTAAGGCCCCTGGAATGGACACAAGAAAAAGACAAAGTGAGAAAAACAATGTCGAAGCTACGCTTCATGCAACCCAAGGTGTGTAGCCAAGTTGATCGGAATTCCAATATAAGCCTCTAATAGCAAACTGTCTATGCAACAATACGATGAAATACGATGAAATTAGGCCACTGGTGGTTGTTTATGAATAATGTCCGATGAGACAAAGAAATACAGAAAATAAAGCTTCAAAGTGAACCCATCAATCTAATATATACCTCCAAGATGTTCAAGACTCTCATCACCTGAACATCCACCTGGATCGGTCAATCTCTCGATCTGTCAAAGATACCAGCAGGCTGAACATCCTGAAACCTCTAGTGGATGGCCTGACCTCTCGAAAGACTCTTGGGCCTCTACAAATCATATCCCTATGGGCTCCAAGTACCTTTGTTTTGAAGGTGGGACTGGGGTGGGTGCCAGGAGGGTCCAGTCATACCTTCTGAGGAGGTACGACTGGAGCCCTAGGATATATCAAAAGTAACAGGACAAACACCGTCACCTTCATGTCGATGCGTGCGCATGCGGAGTAGACACCGACGAACGTAGACGGCCTTGATTCATCTTGATTCATGATTGACCGAATTGGATGGTGAAACCTCTTCGTTTTGGGAAGGTTTTATGAATCTAGAGTCTACACCAGTTTCATGTCGGGGTGCTATCCATGGAGGTAGTCGGGATGCCCTAAGAACACATCCACGGCCCCTGGACGAGCGACACCACACCACCCTGGCCTCCATGTGACCCCTTGCATTTCATGCTACTTTGAACCGGCCCAGTTCTGACAGCCAGTCCGGAAGGTTCCACCATTCAGGCGAGTATCGCATGTGCACTCCATGTACATGTGCGCATGAAATGCATGGAATCAATGCCTAATGCCTGCATGGATCGGAACAACCATCCCATCGGCCAATCATCGGCCCAGAGTTCCGAGTTGGGGGCCGTGTTGAAAAAGGGTCTGTCCATCGTCTTCTGGCTCCCCGATCTCCTGGATGATGTGCATCATCTGGACACTGGTGACTCCTGTCATGGAGAGGGTTGGAGATGAGGGGAGATTCTCCCTCTGCAGAGCTTAGCTGTGCCACATGGACACTCTGACGGATCAGGTTTAGAGGGTATATATAATAGGGTATATAAACTAAGTGCTGCATTCCGTTCAGCATGCTATTTATTTGGACTGGACGTCAGACTTCAGCATGCGCCAAGAAACGCTTTTTGTTCATCCTGTCCATCACGTCCCACCCACACAAATCCTTGGGCCCTCCATGGCAGGGGTCGGACCCTCCATAGCAGGCGTTCGGGAGGATGGGAGGGCCCCGGACTCTTAGGGGAAGCTAGTTTTGGGGCACAGGCCCGTCCGAGGCCCCTAGACTCCGAGTGTTCTTAAGCTTTAGACCTGGGGGGGGCATTCTGGCAGGGCCAAGAACTGCAGCAGTGCCTGTGCTCCTGTTCCCAGCGAAGGCAAAACAACTGGACAACATCAATGTTATTGGTTGGTTCAATGGGCATGGCGTCTGGCTTTCGGGGTCTATACCCTGTTTTTTACGCCATAACACCTATCAAAGCGACAAGTCGTTGGCACTAACCGGCGCACTCACTGTCCCCACCATTGACTGCGATCAAATAGGCAAATGCATGAAGTGTGAAGGTGAGATGATTTCACACTGAGATGCACATTGGGATTCACATTAAGGATATTCACACTGAGAGGCGATTCTTGCGACTGCTTTCTGAATAGATTTTATTGAAAGGGTGGTTGATATTGCTTTGTTTGTGCAACAATTTGTTCTCTCATATTGCGATTAAACTTTGTGGAAATGTTGTCTTGGCTGAGCTTGGTTTTTGATACACAGAATATGCCAGGCCTTCTTCATGTTGTTTGTGGTCCAGCAGAGTCTTGGTCTACCCACCCTGCGGTTTGCCATTTCTCTTGGCATTGCTGATGTTGTGGAGAAAGTAACTTGGTGTTGAGGGTGTTGTCTTTCTCTTCTGAGCACGTGTCCGAGTAATTTGAGTTTCCTTTCTTCAAGTTTCTCTGTCATGTTTTCCTTCTTTCTGAATGGCCCTGCAGTTGGCGCATTGAGCGCTTCATTGGCTGTGCTTCATTGGTATTTTCACGTTGGACGTAGGTAGTTCGCAAACTATTTTTTTTCTAAGTCCTTTGAGTTGGAATGTGTTGAGAAGCTGCACCGCCCCCTGCGTGGGTTCAAAAGTTACCAAACAATAAAAAATGTTTGCTGGTATTACATGCATCGTATCCTAACAGCTTCCATTTTTTGCTGCAGCGAGTGTTGAGCTTAAAAAAATGTCCAATGTTTTGAGGACTGCCATAGTTGCCGAGATGCGCTTCCTAATCTCATGTTTTGGATCGATTTTCTTGGTCACATGTATGCCGAGGTAAGAGATATCTACGGACGTCTGCATTCGCTGTCCATTGGAGAAGAAGATACTACCATTTGAGTTGTCGTTGAAACTATTTTTTACATCTTGAAACATGCGGTGCATTGTAAGGATGAAAAGATATGGGCTCAAAGGACATCCTTGCCGTATTCCCGTTCTTCGTTTTAGCCATGGACTGAAGTGGGTTTTGACCGCAACTCTGAACTCAGGTTTCTGTAGATTGATTTAATTGCAATATTGTAATATGATGCTATCTGGTATATTCAATCTAGATAATGATGCAAACATTTTTTTCATGGTCACGTTTATCAAACGCCTTCTCCCAATCTAAGAAAATGAGCCACAGGGGGTCGTTACCCTGCTCAGCAAAATCAGCGAGTCTTCTGACACAGAATATTGGTTCTACTGTGGACCTGCTTTTTTCTGAAACCGAACTGTGTGTTGCCCAAGTGTCCGTCAATAATGTCAGAAGTCTGTTTTTTTTGAGAATGTAGGCAACAATTTTGTAACTTGTGTTCAGTACTGAGATAGGATGATAGTTTTCGGGATTATCTGGATCTCCTTTTTTGTAAATGCTTGCTATCTGTGCTCGGGTAAAATCATCCGGAACATATTTGTGTCGCCAAAAATGGTTGAAACATGCGGTCAAACTTTGAATATTGCCGTGGTCTAGAAATTTGAACAGTTCTGTGATACACCCATCTGGTCCTGGCTTTTCAATTTGTCGATTGCACTTTCATGCACTTTCTACTACTTCTTCAGTAGTGATATCAAGACTATCAGCATAACCTCCCAATTCCGGAATGGCCCGTACCAAAATCACATCTTGCCGGGGCAACTCCTAACCCTTCCAACGTCCAAACACTTCTTATCTACATACATGAACGCGGTCAGGCCACTTTCAAGGCCGATCTCCGCCAGTGTGTAAGGCTTCCATGGTGCATGACCTCCCCCCCTTTGGATCAACCAAAAGCACCGAAACACACACGGCCCACCACGCACGGACTGCGACCGCGACCTCCTCCGCTGGCCGTCAGCGTGCGACGGCCCATGTGAACGTCACCCTCGGAGTAATCCATCCACACGTCCTTCGATGGCGGCGGTGCTCCGTGTCGCCAGGGCGGCGCAAGAGCAGCCGCCCATGGCAGGACCCTTGAGGCTTGGAAACCCATGACTGACAGACTATGACCCCCTCCAATCACTCCTGTCTCTGGAAACTGAGATGCCCTGTCCCCTATTCTCAGGTTCGGTGATTAGGCCCCCTAAACCCACCCCTGGCCCAGGTATGACTGGAGCCCTACAAATACACAAGGACCCTCCATCCAACAGGCTGCGTTGAGAGACCCTATAACAATTGTGTTTTGGGCACCGAACTTGTGTTTCCAGGAGAAGCCTGTTGGCCTGGAAGGTGCTGGTAGCTTGCGTGAACCCTGTGCTTTGGCTGACATTAGTGCTCGAAGACCCCAGAATTTTCAGCACATGGTCGAGGATGTTTTTTGTGGCAAGAGCTAACCAAGGTACTTCCAGGGGCCCTTTGGAACCTGCGAAACTGGATGGTTTCATTGGATGTTAGAAATGCCTGGAGTCTCAGTTCGTACCTCCAAAGATGGGTACAAGCACCATATAACAATATAATATATATATATATATGTTTGTGTTGTGGTTACATGTCCCATGTTCCAGTGGGGCGGGAGACCCGGTACTCAAATCCAGCTCCATTCACTCGATCCGTTCGACGCCATAAGTGTGTGTGCGTCGTCGGTCCAGGAGCTGGCCCGTTCGCAGGCCCTCGACGCTCAGGTGCCGCTGCTTGGCAGCATGGTCCTGGACCCCCGCCACCGGCAACTGGTGTTCCCGGCATTGTTGGGTTCTAGCATTGCTTTGACTTACTTGTCAGTGTCATCAACTTGCTCATGGCCAAGTCTTGTTGAGGATTGAGGATTGTGATGTGACAAATCGGGGGGAGGAGCCGAATTCTTCAAGTAACACCAGGATACAAGAACATAACACCACCGTAGACTCCAAACAGGTGGGACAACAACGAAGCATTCCCGAGTCCACTTTTTGAGACATCAACATGCAAGAAGGGAGACAAAAGGAAACAGAAGGAAAACAAGGCGTCAACTGCCTCTTGGAAGTCACCTGGTCGGCGGCGGCCTGAGAAGATATGTGCGAAAACCACTGAACTGGACAGATCAGGCTATCCATGGACTGGCTCTCCGTCTCAAAGATCCTAACCTCGATGTGGTCCGACTTCCGCCTGTCCGACCCGTCCGTGTTCTGCAACCAAAGTCTTCCAAATGCATACTCTGTCCCGTGCAGGATTCTGCTTCTCGGACTGTAGGAAGTTCGTGGTGACTATCTCGTTCCGGTTCGGATGAAAGCTGCACCGCACGAAGATCCTGGAGATGAATTCGATACGCTCACCATGTTTGTAGTTCGCTGTGGTGCAATGCTCTGCGTCCCTGTGGCTCAAGTTGTGTGCCGCATGTGTGCTCCAGTCGTACCATCCTCGGCAGGTATTTGAACTTCATCCCAACACACCGAACCGAAACGGAGGTACTTCGAACCCCTGAGTGAAGAAAACCTGAGGTTTCTCCTTTTTTCCAATTGCTGGAACTCGGAAACCACTCTGTGAAGATGCCGCGGGGTGGTTTCCCCATGAGTCTCCAACCGAAACTCTGACCCTTTGTGCTTCTTGATGTGATCACGACTAGCTCACAGCCTTCCTAAGCCGGGGGAGTTCCGTTCTTCTGACCACGTCTTTCCAGCGGCGAGGCGTCTCTCTTCGCGTCTCTCTTCCTCCTTGCGCGCCGCGTGGGCCGAGGCATACGAGTTCATGTCTCGTTCCCTGAGGTGGCGGGTTTCGGAGCTGCGATCCAAGGATCCGACGGACCCTCGGACACCGGCTCCGACGCCACCAAGCGGTTTGGGATGGTTTGGGTGGGTCTCAGGGTCGGTTTGGTGTCTCTCGACCGCGTTTGGACCGTCCACCTGTTCAGAGTCGAGTGGGGCAACTGTCACCACCGGTCCGGACGGTGACGCTGCAGGTGATCTGTACTGGTGGGTATGCCATAACCCCGGCGGTCCCATCGGTGAGTTCAGAAGGTTGTAGGCCAGGAAAAAGCCGTCCAGCCGTCCAACATGAATGGAACCAAATAGTAATTTGGTTTCGGGGATGATGGCATAAACCCTCTCATCATCTGTCTATACATGTCTACTGTAAACCAAATTTGGGGATCATCATTTTGATGATCCTGGATATTTGTGAGACAAATGGTGCCTTGATTGATTCAAATCTTAATTGACACGTGATGTCAAAATAGGTTCTACTGACCTGCAAAGAAAAATATTCGTTAGTAGGTAACTTGATCCCCGAGTTTAATTATGCCACTGCCACAGGATCAAAACATCAAGCGAATCCATTGGCACTATCGGTTGGTGTTCTTGGTTGGCTGCCTCCACTCTCCAAGTGGATGGGGAGCCTCTTTAAATCTCTTTAAGATCTTTGACTCCGTTGGTGAAGCGCCTTTCATGGCGCAGATCGATCTGCAAATTGTTATCAAGACCTTATAGCTACATTTACTCCCCCAAACAATGGTCATCAACAGGGCACGAACGGAATGGAGTGACTCACCAATGGCATTCGGTTTGGTTGGACTGGCGCCAGTCCTTTAGCAAGTAATGAACCAATACCTCCCTCATAACTCATAACGGTCCGCCCTCCAGCCAAAGCCACCATGTAGGCGATGCGTTCTCCTGCAATGAGAGTGGTCGGTTTACAGTTTACAGGAGGCTTTCCGGGCCCCGAACTGTAAGCCAGGCGGTGTGTCACCAGAAACATCCCTGCCCGTTTACGCTCATGGAGCCCCGGTTGGGAGGAGCCAACGCCTGGGAAATGCACCTGGAGCTTCAGTTCGTTCCTCAGAATATAGGTAATCAAAAGAGTCGTTACATGACTCTTTTTCACTACATTACACCCTTTACATGACAGAACATCTTGACATGACATCTTGACATCATGACTCTTTACAAAAGGTCCTCAGAATTTAGGTACAAGCACCCTTTTTCACGTCATGTCATGTTGCATTTTCCAGTGTACAGTACAAGTCCGGTCCAGGTAGATGAACTTGGTAGATGACCGTCCAATCATCCAGCCGTTGGACATAGAATCATCCCAAAACAACACCCGGCGTGTCCAAGAAGTGCCCACCGGACCCGCCGTGAGAAGAATCGGCCTCCACACGAAACGATGAACGCGCTGCTTGTGCGAACCGGATGAACCGGTGCGCCTGGTGATCTGAGTGAATGGCCAAGGCCTGTGCGATCGACTCGTCCAGCTTTGGAACCGACCGGGTGGAATAAACATGGCAGCAAGTCTATGTGATGTTGCTTGGGACCACAATGAAATGACAATGAACCACAATGAACATCAATGAACCAAGATGGAACCACAATGAAATGACATGGAACATCGCGAACATGGCCACCTAAGACATGGTGCATCTGCAAACGAAGAAACCCCTCCCCGCCGGAATGGTTTTACATCTCCCATATTGGAGGTTTTACTAGTCAATCGTCTATTCTATAATCATTTCAAGTTGAACCTGCAACTGCACAGGGAAAAACATGCAACATGCCTGGTGAATCTCATCGATGTCACATCCTCTCTTGTCAGCCTCAGCCGTTGTCGCAGAAATCCGATCGCGCGTCGTGGGCGCACGAAAGCATGCCCAACAGCCGAAGTGCATGGCCCAAACACCCCACGTATCATCCGGCAAACTAACATGGACTGAGAATATATGGACCCCTGTGAGACTATTCCATCCAGTGGTTTTCAGTAGGGTTCATGTCAATCTTCGGGAGGTTATGCCATATATCTGTAGACTCTTGATTTATAGAACCCCCTACCGTTTGGATTGGAAAACCTCTTCAGGGTGTTGTTCATCAAGAGTGTATACCTGTACCTACATTCTGACTCGCCATGGGTTTGGGGCCGACGCGTCAATCTGGCGCCGACCTTCTCGGTGTCGTGTCGACAACCGGGTGGATTGAACCACCTCTGTGAAGCACCTGGCCCGAGGAAGGCCGCCGAGAGTAAGCCCGCCGCGAGTAAGCCCGCTTCCAAAACGGCCGCCCCCCTCGGTTGAAATCCCACCAAACTTCTTCACCGAATTCTTGTTCACGTGAAGTTCTCCCAACTTAACCCCCCCAAAAAAAAGAACCGTCAACTTTTGACAGGTGATCCTCCATTTTTCCCCGGGGACTCTTCCACAAAAGGCCCACCCTCAAAAACCTGTTCGCAGGCATTAGGATATCACCTGGCAGGTTAATAGATGAAACATCCGGAAACATCCGGAAACCAGATCAGAATAACCTGTGTGTCATACACACTGTCATACACTCCATGGGACTGTCATAGGACTGCCGCCCCAGAGGCCGACCCAGACAGGTCGTGCCTGGGAAGACGCAGTCAGGACGACCCGACGACCCCGGACGACGCGGTGCTTGGGTCCCCGGGGCGATCTGCCGCAAGGCCTCGGCGAACTCCGCGACGCCTGGCGAGGGCTGAGGGGGGGCGGGGCCTAGTTGGGTCGATCGAGGGGCGCAGGAGGCGATTCTGCAAAGGCCAAGTCATTAACTCCGGCTGCTTATGCTTTCACCGACCAAATGCAACAGCTTTCACTAATCCCCAAAAGGTGGTTTATATGGAACCTTTACTAAACCCCCCCGGCACTGGTGACTCGATGAACTCGTGCCAGGTAGTCAATACCGCCTAGCAAATGATTTTGCAGCGGCCCCCGGAACTAGTGGTATGTAGTGGATGGATGGATTGACGGACCTATATCACGTGGAGGTCCAAAGGGCTTGAAAAACGGATCAGTTCCGCTTCGGAGTCCGTGGTTCGCATGGCGGGGGGTTGGGGTGGCGCCCGGGAAGGGCGAACAAAGCCATGTTGGACCCAAACACGGCCTGTCTGGGACTGGCGGACTGCCTTCAAAACGGGCGTTGCCTCTGGGGCGGCAGGCTTATACCAGTCCCAGTAGTCGTGTCTGGGTGTTTGACCCATGGTTTTTCCACGTTGGTCGTCACAAAGTCACCACTACATTGCCACCACCAGGGTAAAATGAGTCGACCTTGAACTTTTGAGAAGAGCTTGTGGAGATGAGATTGGGCGTAATTAATCCCGAGTACCTATTAAAAAACGGACCCCTATTAGAAAAAAGTCATGTCGGAAACCCCTAAATACGGTTTATATTTGTTTTTAAATTACCGCCCTTTCAAGCCGCTACTAAACTACCAACATTGCCGACTTTGGAGGAGTTTTTTTATTAGGTTCCAAAAACAACCGTAACTGCCCACCTCTGTCCGCCCTGTCTATCCACCATGACACGCCGCGCTTACACCAGCAGGCTTTCCTTCCCCCAATGGCACGGACTCACGCAAACGCACTTGCCACCGAGGTCATGCAACACCGCACCGACATCACCTTTCGAAAGCTTTAGCTGTTAGTCTACTGAAGAATCACTATTCTAATGAAGGTTTTTGTAGGGGAAAAGGAAGACCCTTCGATCTGGAGCTTTTTTGCATTTTTGATACGAGTTTAATAAAGGATTTTATATATAATTTTACTGATTTACTTTTTTGCATTTTACTTTTATATAAAATTTTACCGATTTCAGGGACCCCCTATTTAAAAAAATGCGACCGAGGTTTCCTTATTAGGGGGGGCGGGGCCCTCGTGTTTTTTATTAGGTGGACCGGATTATTTGCATAGGGAAGACCTCATCAAACCCTGGCTGGAGAGAGACTGGCCATTTCCGGGGTCGGAATGCCTGGGAGGTCTCCCTGAGGAGGTCCTGTTTCAGGGTCCTTCATGGCTGCTGAGAGTCTTGATTGGAAGCGATTGGACGTTGGAACCGTTATCGTGCTTAAGTTCTGACTTCGGTGTGGGCTATCGGGCTGAGAATCTGCCCCACCTCATGAAGTATATAGGACTCACATGGACGCACCTACTATATAGTGGTTTCAGAGTAGATGGCATCAAGATGTCCTCTAATTTAACTATATAAGGCCAAAAAGCCTTTTGGCACTCCGTGTGCAATTCACCACATGTCAGCCATGCAAAGTTACACTATCTGGAAGATGAACGTGGAACCTAGGAAATGAACCTTTGGAAGACTAGCTGAGCTCATGCTTCCTCCATCACTCGGTGGTATGGTTTAACTCCATCACTCGGGATGGTTAATGCAGACTTGCTGAACTTGCCCCTTCGCCTATACAGAATCAATTGCAACCTTTTTCCTGACTCCCGAGCCGGTTTTCCTGGAAACAAGAAGACCCCAATCCCGGAGAAACGCTTCGGCACGTGATCCACGTTTCGTCACCAGGCTGAAGGGTCACTGGCTGACGGGCACTTAGGCCGCCATGCTCCCCCGCCATCCCTCCGTCGGACCACTCTTTTCCGGCTCACTCGAGCTGCTCCTCTGCCTGACACGTCCGAACAACCGGGTCCGGGAGAGGGGGACGGTCTAAAGGGAGGTCCATCACGTGAGCGTCTGGGCAAACTTGCGGCTCCGAACCTGGAAAAAGTCGTCGCCTAGGTATGGGGGATTTACCCAGTTCATCTCAGTTGGTGAAAATCAAAACAATCACCTGAGACAAGCAGGCAAAAAAGCCCGGGAAGAAATTCCTAGCCAGTGAGGACTCAATGCATGACTCACGTCATCTCCCTTCACCTCTTGAAAACCAGCTTGCGAGCAATTTTAAAGTTCAGACTTGACCATGGACCCTGTGGCACAGCAACTGTGGCACCTCAAACCCTTGACAAAATGGAGGATACCGCAGGTGTGTTGAGGGCGCGGTTCACTCCAACACCTGGTTTCGTGCCTACAAACTCCCACAAAACGACATTTCTTTTCTTTCTGTGGGAGAATCATCACATCACAGCTGCGGCTGCAAAAAATAACGAAACACATCACCATGGCAAACCAAGGAAGTGCTTGAAGTTTGTAGAAAGGTCTTGATTGCGAGGTCTCCCCAAATACCAGGTGTTTCTGCCGCCGATGGATATAGGGTCTCCCACCCCGAAGTGAACCATGAAATCCAGAGGGGCGTCTAGGGGTTCAATCGAACCGTCGCGTCGAATTGGTCCACTCGAATGCGGGGCGGTTCTGGTCTTAGTCTGCTCATTTTGGCCCCTGGAAGCCCAAGACCCTCTAAATTGGTTGATCTCGCTTTGTAAGGTCAAGTCCTTATAGCCAAAACCATGGTTGTTCCAAATTCAGGCTCTTAAACCAATGGACCACTTGCGACGTCAATCACGTTGCACGTCTCTATAGGACCCCCCCGTAGCTTAGGACCCCGAGGGCCTCGTGCCGTTCGACGCTCGTGATAACGCTGACCGGTGCACCGGTCGCCTCGCTCTTGGCACGGCGCTTGTCGTGCATGGCCTGAAGCGAAGCGGTCACCCGACGGGACACACGGTGACCGGGAGGAGGACGGTGAGGACTCGTGGACGGGACACTGTGCTTCTTAGAAGGTGCAGAATGGATTGGTGGCATTGATACCTATGTGAACAGTATGCGGGAGGTGTTACAAAGAGTCTACAAGAGATATCAAGAGAGCTTAAGCAATTGCAAGGGCTATGTAATATGGCAGTTAAGTGTTTGTAGTGAAAACATCAGAAAACACATCAAAAACAACAAATCTCCTGTCTTCATGCAACCCAAGCTCAGTGCCAAAGAGGTTCCATGTTCTAGAATTCGCCTTGGGATTGCCTTCATGAGTCTTAAAACTTCCAACCCACTTTGGAACACCTGTCCGCCACAGGGGGGCCGTTCAGAGCAACGCCACCCGCCGTCGCCGGCGTTTGCGCCTGCTGCTTCTCTTCCAAGGAGGGGCAAAGGCCACGCCTTGGACCAGGACGGATGGCATTCAAGATACCCAGATCATGCCTGACGAATCACCGGGGCATTCCCAGGTGGATGCTTCGTGAACTTGCGAAGCTGCGAAGATGGTGGGTGTCGCGTGTCAGTCCATTGAAGTGGACGGTTTTCAACCCTCCAATTCCAAGTCAGTTGAGCTCCCGAGGAAACTGACCAGTGAATCAAGTCTCATGTGATTCACCAACAGTCCCAGTCATTGTAGATCTTCCAACTCCATCAAGACTTGCGATCAGCTTTACTAGCCTCTCCAGACTGCTCTGATCCAGTTGACCAGTGAGATAAGATTTGATCTTTCGATATCTTTCGTACACCTTTCCCTCCTAGCTCTTTCTCCCAAGGAGAATGGCCGGGCCACTGCAACAGCGGCACATGCTTCCGCTGCTTCCTCCCAGCCGCATCGTCGCCGGCCGCGGCCTCTGCCAAGCAGGTGAAGACTGCGCAGCTGCGCTGGTGGCGCTGCAGCATGGCTTGAAAGGCCTCACGAATGGGCAGGGTAGGGGAGCATGTACCAGCGACCGAATTCTCGGGCAACTTTGAGGAACAGAATGACACCGCTCATCAAAACTATAACATTCTTTTCTGCTCATGTTGATTTCATCTTTAGCACCGAGCGCGCCGAGCGCGCACGTGACCAGAAGAGAGGGCAAACCTGCCCCGCCTCTTCGGCACACTTGGACGGAGAGCGCACGGCGGTTTCTCCTGCAATGAGCTATAGGCTAATTGCGCTCACTGAGCCTCCCTTTTACAAGCGCGTTGGGCAAACACGAGCTGGGTCAGACTATGATTCCACTATGCCACTATGTTCCACTCATGGGCCCATGTGACATTTTTCGTGCCACGTGTCAACTTGCGGTCTGGAGGAAAGCCACATGACTGACAAGTCGGGCGAACCGCCCCCAAACAAACGGACTGATGGATTTTTGGGCCGGAATGAGCATCCAAACGGGCACGGTTATATAGCTTGTCTGAGAAAGGGCGCACGCCCTCTGAGCCATCAACAAGGGCGAAGTAAAACGCTGAGCAAATTACAAGGCAACCATAAGACTACAAAAACAAGAGGATGTTGCATGATCCACATACCCTCCGAGAAGGTGATTGGAGACACGGGCGGGTCGGTCCGAGAGGGTCCAAGGACCTTCTGACAAGTATGTGGACCCTACAGTAGGGTATGCAAGAACATGTGCGGGTTTGAAAACATCTCAACCTGGGTTGGCCGCGGCAGGACAGTCACGTGGCTCCGCTACATGACTGCACCCCCGCTTTTGGGCAGTGGCACAGCTGTCAAACCCATTTTGGTGCTCACCAAATACCAGACTGAAAGGACTAAATGTAGGAGTCCCCAAAAGACATCATGGACCAGCACAGGTCTCCTCTACAGGTCTCCTCTGTTGGCTTTTGGGTGGCAGGTGGTGACCTGTGAAGTCGGGTGCCGGAATGGAAGGTTTGCCTACCTCGAGTCTCGTGGCCGACCAGGCCGTCGGCATGTCGGCAAAGATTCCAGGTCTCACGGAGTCTTTGGGGGTCTGTATGTGTACTACTGTGTATATATATATATATATATTTAACCGGCTTGTCCTTCCAATGTACAATGTAAAGCTCCATAAAAAAAGGCATGGAGAAGGCCACAGTCTTCACTGCCCTCCTTACCATTGAGGGTCATGGGGTCATGATCCTCAACGATCCCCCCGGGCATCAAAGTCTCACCTCAGGACACTTAGAAACACACCACCAGGTCCAAACACACCAATAAAGAACCATAGATTGTTACACCATGAAATACCATGAAATACCCATTTAGAAATCATATATAACCATATAAACTATTAAGCATAGATACTACTAATGGATACAGTGTACTAATATAGGATCTAATAGCAACTCCAAATGATCCCCCCAGCTCTGCTTCTCATGCCTACAGCTCTGCCTATAGCTTCTCCGTTCCCGGGAACGCTGCTGCTTCCGCGGGAGGTCGTCCCACGTCCTGCCGCCGGTGCGCAGGTGCCGGGCGCAAAGGGCACGTCGGGGAAGCCGCAGTCGCGGAGCACCTGAGGCGTCGAAGCTGCCAAGGTCGAGGAGTCACAAGAGTGTTGAGTAAAGAGTCCCATCTGCCAGGACCTGATTCGAGCGAACTTGAGATTTCAGGATGAGGTAGGTCACGAACAGGCCAGGAAAAGGTCACAAACAGAGACTAAAGAGGTCACTTGGAAGGTCCTGGTAGATCATCTATAATCATCAGAGTGGAGGGGCACCCCTGATTTTTCCTCCAAGTTCGGCACACCGACGTCTGACTGGAAGAAACATCCAGAAATTGGTATCGGCTTAAATCAGAGGCCCATACAATTCCTCTTTCATTCGCAATACATATTCCGAGCGGAAGTCTGGGGCGCGGATCCGAGGCGCGGATCCAATGTAAGGATGAGACCTATAGTCCCGTTTGGGATCTAGTCGTACCTTCTCAGGTACGATGATGGTGTTCGACACGTCTTATGTAGGTTTTTGAGGGTACACATCTGCAGCATTCTCAAACCACCGACTAGTGAATGCATTTCCCACGTGCATGTCTTGCTGCCCCAACCACGACAGTGGGATCCTCCTTTGGGGTCTCAAATCTCTAGGTGTTGAGGAACCTGAAAACATCTCAAGGATGAGGTCACTGACTGAGGCCTACGAAATCGACTGCCTGAAATATTAGTAAGGTTGGTTGGTGTGAACTCACGAACGAAAAATCTGAGTTAGTGGGTTCAATATGGTTCAATCATTCCAAGTAGAGGGAAGAAAAGAAAAAGTTATCTGAAACGGCTGCTCCATGGCAAACAAAGGCTGCTCCATGTGCCACGGCCGGCCCCCCGGTCCGTCGGTCCGTCGTTTCTCGTCTCAACCCGAGTGGCCAAGCCCGACTCGTCTGCCGGCTCGTACCTCGAGGCGAGTCGGGGAAGAGACGCCAAGCAGTCGGAAACAAGGGATCGATCGAGGCTTGGAGGTGTGGATGTGAGTGGATGTGACAGTGGCACGCACCCCCACTATCAACTCCATGCTGTGGATGGCACTAGTCGATGCCTTGGAACAGTGGGGGTGGAGGTTGTCGATCTTCGAGGGCTGATGGATCGAGACGACTCGTTCCACAGGTGGTTTGGGGGATACACCCAGGAAGAGACCCACATGGAACCTGATGACAACCTTTGGAAGACCAGTTTCCTCTACCAGACGTGGTGAACTCAGGTTCCATGTTCCAGGGCGTATTCATGGATGTGTTTTGGGGTGTGCGAAGTTCTGAAGTGGACTTTCGTCAATCTGACATCTGCCACAGCTGCAGCGTAGCTCTGAGAATATAACTGGAGGTTTGATTCAGATCCTCTGAGACCAGGTCGTCCAGTGCAACCCCAGTGAAGACCTTGGTCAACTTCTTCTCTTCATCCATTCAATGAATGATGGAGAAGGACACAATCATTTTAATGATGTGGTCCCTGCTTCATTTCAGTACCTGACCTGTAGATCACTGAACTACTCACTGAACTACTCACTGGGCCTAAGGATCCGGACTCTCCAAAAACAAGGGTTTTGAGGGAACAAACATGTACAAAACCCCTGTTGCAGAGGCTTCGGCCCCTTCTATGAGGTGTCGGGTTCAGAGATCCTTAGCTTAGGGTGGATTCATGTGAATCGTAAAAACACGTATTTGGGAGCAGGCTTCCTATGGATCTTTCTTTAAAAAACACATCAAGAGCTGGATCCACTACCGGGCACACTATCACATCACCTCTCGGGACCCAGGGGCAATGGCTTCCGCGGCCACTTCTCCACATCCAGCCTGGAAAGCCGTATTCTTACGCCGGGGGGGGGCTCTGGTCACACCATGAGTCCCAAAACAGGAGCCTCCAAAACAGGTTTTTCCCGTTTGGGATCCAGTCGTACCGAACCTCAGGTACGGTGATGTGTTCGACACGTCTTATGTAGCTTTGGAGGGTCCAGTCGTACCTCCTGAGAAGGTACGACTGGATCCCTAGGGTTTGGACACCTCAAACGGAGGGTGCTGAAAGATGGCTTCCGAACTCAAGGCGCTCGGAGAGCGGCCAGTGACAACAGGTGCTTCATGGTGTGTTCGTAACACCGCCGCTCTTGGAACCACCGAGCTCTTGGAAACTCATACCAGGATCTTCCAACTGTGACCAATTTCTGCCTTTTTCATCCATAAAATCAGCCAAGGTCGGCAGAAATTTGGCATAGTTGGAAGATCCATACCTGGACTACCCCACGCTACCTATAGGCTTCTAGACAGGGCACCCCGACAGGAGGGTCCTGGTATATACGTGAAGTGCCCCGATGTCCCATCCGCCACTCGTTGGGTCCTATGGGTGCGGACCACCGGGACCGTCACCGCGACCGCGACGCGAGTGGACGGTGATGCAGCGCACAGAAGGGTGATCACCCGAGGAACATAGGGATTGGCGGTCCAGGAAGCGAAACCCAAAACCGGGAAGCGGAACACACCGCAAAAACCCGGTGTCCTGGAGTCCACCAGTTTGCCGGGTTCTGAACAAACCCGGAAACCCCCAAAAAACCCAGGCGAAGACCGAAGACCGCAAGTCGCGTCCCGGAGCAGTGGCACACTTTGATCTGCCTCACTATCTGCCTCATGTTCGTCATGACCACCACGATAGACAGCCGTTTTACCACCACTTCATGAGCCCCAGGGGGCGATTTCACTGACGCACGTCAGCCATCCCACCATCCCTTCCATCCCTTCCATGATGTGTTTGTGCACCCCTTAAACGTGGCCAAGACGATGTGGTGTTGCTCCCATCAACGCGGCCAGTCTGGTGCTTGCCTGTTGACGAGTCGTCCGCGTCGTCCCCCCATCTCATCCAGGCGTCAACTCCTTCACCACTTCCACTTCCTCTAGCCCAGCGCCGATCAGCAGCAGCACCGCGGCCATGCACCGCACCTGATCGGTCCAGGTCACCCGCCGCCGGAACGAGCGGAGCGAAACGGACCAAAAAAGGTGGAGGGAACGAGCGGGTTGAGCGAACGAGTGGTCGAGGGAATTGCGTTGGTTGGTGGTCGTATGGATGGGACTAGTACTGACTGACCAGCGAGATGAGACACACCTGGGAAAAAAAAAGGGGCTCTGGGCAAAGCAAAGGGACTCAGGGACTCATTGATGCACCACGTCTGATGCACCACAGGGTCTGGGAGAAGAAGAAGGAATCCACCCCTGCGGTGGTCACACATGCAGAAAGAACATATTGTTTCACTTGCCCCAGGGAGTTACACAAAGGGGTGGGTTTTTAGATCCTAAGTGAGTGGATGTTCTGGGCACCCCTGTCTTCATGATTAAGCACCCCAACATGGAACTGCTCGTAACATGGTGTGTTAAACAAACGGCGGCCTTCTTGGATATGCTGAAGGAACCTGGAAAAACAGAAAAAAAATATATTCACTGCGGAAGGGGATTTAACCATAGGGAAACAACCAAACAAAACACATAAAACACCTTAAGCATCCTTGAGCACAACCAGGCCTTCCCTCGCTCCCCCCCAGTCACGCCGGTGCCTGGTGCCACAGAAATGCCATCCCCGTGACAGCAAACATGGCTACAGCCGCTCCAGAGGGCCGGACGGACACGGAGAGGACCTTGCGTCGATAGTTGGACACGTTCTCGATGTCCATCTTGCCTAGACATGTTGCGCGATACCAAGACATGGAGCCATGGAGCTGGAGTTGATGTTGCCTCTCCTGGGCTCCAAGTACCTCCTGCTGGATCCAACTGGGGAGCCCCTTGGCGAACAGTTGGGATTGCCCTCGCGCGATGGTCAAGCGCAAAACGGATGGAGTGTCACCAAACCCGGTGCCCTAGAAGTCCACTTCGACGATATTTTGCAAAGGCCGAAGAGGAGGACGCTTCCGAACTTCGGATCGATATGATCGACATTCCTTTTTCAAGAGCCGACTGGACTTCCACCACTTTGAGACCAATCCACACCTGGTGAGCTTTCTCCACTCCAAGATCATGCACAGCACTCAAACGGATGAGCAACGAGAACACCAGGCCTTCAGCCTCAAGGGGCTAAACGGCCGAACCGCCCGCCCCGCCGAGCGGCAGAAGTTCCGGAAATCGTGTTCCCCCACGAAGTGCTCCGCCGCTCGCCGCATGCGGTCTAAATCTTCGCCAGCGTAGGGGAAGTAGTACCTGGGTCCAGTCGGAGTCTCTTGCCCGTTTGGGCTCCAGTCGTACCTCCTCAGAAGGTATTTGGACCCTCACCCTCCCCAAACATCTTAGAAGGTACGACTGGAGCCCAAACGGGTTGATGAAGATGGGAGGATCTGATCTATACCCGGCACCACCCAGGATATAGGGGAGATTCACGGTCGAAATCGGATCGCCGAAATGACGCTTTTAAACACGGCCGACTGGACCTCCCAAAGGTATGCAGAAAATCAGGTTTCATGGGCTCAGCCCATGGTGAACCCCATGGCCACTGAGGCCGTCGCATGACGGGATCAGGGTTCAGAAAGCATAACGCTTTCAAAATAGAGCGGTTCGAACCTTTGGCCACTTTTGCCGTTCCAACATTTTTGATCCTGTTTTTTCCCATCCTTTTGCCTCCACATCTGAAGAATGCAGGAGTGGCACAGCAAAGATCTCCAAAGGACCCTTTCGATGGGCCCTCTTTTCCGTTCTTCTTCCTGCAGCACCTGGGCGAACCCACCACCCCAAAAGCTCCCGGCTGGGTTCCCACCCCAACAGCGCGTGAGGTCCCACGATCTCTCAGAGTTCGGAGTGCAGAACAGGACCCAGTGGCTGGTAAGCACGGTAGAGGCATGAAAAGCGTGCATCAAACGTCTCCGGCGCGCGCGCGCAGGCCAAGATCCTGACGAGCTGAGCAGCTGAGCGACGAGCGGTTTCCAGGCGGCTCGGATGACGAGAACGCATGGATGATCATGGATGTTCTTGTCCGAAGAGCAGAGAGGTCAAACAGGGTGGTGCCATCCACGTAACCATGATACCAAGGAGTATCAGTGTAAGTGTCATACTGTTGTTCACTGAACACATATACTTATCGTAGTCATTCAATACTCCCAAAGAATGGACTCTCAAAGAACGTGAAATCATTGGTCCTGACCCTTTGGAAGACTGGTCCTCTACAGAATTGCTTGAATTGCTCTTCCTGCAGAGTCTCCCTTAAGGTCTCAACCTAAAGAGCTGAGCAGAACCTCTAAAGGTCGAGGAAGGTCACACGCTATAGTAGTTTCAGAGGTTCGATGGCACGAACCCCCAAGATGTCCTACTATACATAGATGGGGGGTCCATAAGAAAACTCTGAACTTATTCGGAGTATTCTACTCGGACTCCGGAGAGCACCCCTATATAGTCAATTATGATCAATCATGCGTACATGCATTGTCTGGAAAAAGTCAGGGACAATGGTCTTTGAGGGGCGGAACGGTTCCACTTCCATGTGTGCAAAACAGAGTGTCAACGGTGGGAAGCTTCTTTCAATGTGTTGCATGCTCTTTGGTGGGGGAGTGGCACGGGTAAATGTGAGTGAAACAGAATAAAAACACTGGGAACGCTCTGGACTCACCAAACCCATAAGCTTCTGGATGATCACAAATTTCTAGAGCTGACTGCTCGTATGTGTTTGATTTTTCATTATGGGGAAGTTTGGTTACTGGTGGCATGAGCTCCGAACATGAGTTCTTCAAGCTGCAAAAAGCTCCGGTCAAGTGAGTCTTGTGCCATCTGAACTTCTTAGAAATGTACCCAAATATGTCCAAATTTCCAATGTGCCGTCGTCCAATCTGCGTCAACAAGGTATATAGCATGTCACACAGAACCATCACCAACGACATGACCACCACCTTGTAGATTCAATGACTTTCCAAGGGCCAACCGCTGAGGAAACAGCTTGGAGCAACTTGCTCCTGTCACCCCCAAAACATGGAGCAAAAACTCGTTCGATTCGCCCTGCTACATGGATGTTCATGTTTGTCCCTTACTGCAGCTCCACCCATTGCACTATTCCACTCGGATGACCCAAACACCGGATGCCTCACATCCATCGGGAGCACAGCGTTGAGCATGCCAGGATAATCAAAGTCCTGGCGATGGAGCTCCAAAAAGAAAAACTGAAGTAGAAACAAGAAGACATAATCACCTAGCGCTTCCAAGGGGTGCGCAATGGAGACCTGTAAGTAGCGTGGGGATATCCAGCCAGGTGACCCGTTCGATACAGCTTGCACAAAGACATCAATAGAAATAAAAAACAGAGATTGAAATTACTTTACTTCGAGTGATCCCCACCTGGCATCTACCTGGCATTCTATCTGGCATTCTATCTGGCATATCTTCTGGCATTTTGTCTGGCATACTATCTGTCATTCTACCTGGCATACCTTCTGGCATTCTATCTGGCAATATCTGGCATATTTTCTGGCATTCTATCTGGCAATGTATCTAGCAATCTATCTGACACACTATTTGGCATACTATCTGGCATATCTTCTTGCAGCATTCTATCTGGCAATCTACCTGGCATTATATCTCGCAAACTATCTGGTTGAGGTCCAGCGGTGCACACGATCCTTGCGATTTAATTTCCAGATATTTCCAGCGGTGCACACTGCGATCGGATCCTTGCGGTTGAGGTCCAGGGATGCACACTGCGATCGGATC